TTAAAAAATACGATAATAGTGTACGCACATATTTTGATGCAAGTCATACTATGCATGACTTTTGCTATTGTATATTTTGATAAAAAGCTTCGCAATATATTTAAGAAGTCGCATCTTAACATTAACTTTTTCATCATATCTGAATAGGATACAATTTAATAATGCATTTTACAGTCATTTTATTATATAATTTTATTATTTTTATTAATAATGCATTTTACAGTCATTTTATTATATAATTTTATTATTTTTAAATAATATTATAAAATATTATTCGATCCTTTAATAGTACTCTACATATCACACGAATTTTAACACCAGCATAATATATACATTTATCACTTTCCTTGCATTTTTTATTTTCCATCTTCGCAGACGACGAGAATTAAAAAGCTGTACTACTAAAATGGATTGTGGTTCTGCCACCGGCTAGCATTAATTGTTGTAGCGGTAAATAGTAAACGAGTAAATAGTAAACGATAATTAAAATAAGGGGAAATCATATTTCTATCCATATGTTTTTGACGTAATTAACTATTAATAGCATATAAAATATTGGCTAAAATAGCTATTAAAGGACTATTTCTATTTATAAGAAGGACGATTTAGGCATTTTTACTCTACATTTTTAGAAAATCAAATGTGTTTCAATAATTTTTTTAATTTTATGAAATGGGAAAAGTTGCTAATGCCTCCATTCTTAAATATTTGTCGCATCTGAAAAAGTATTGTGTTCTAAAATACTTGTTATATTTATAATTTTAAGGAGTAATAAACTTTTCTTTTGTATTTACCCTTTATATATGACCAATAATTATTATTTCAATTCTTCGACAATTTAGAGTTTGAATATATTAAATTAAATAGAATATAGTCAATTTATATAATGATTTATTATAATATAAACAAATCCACTTTTTTTTTTCAGAGGTACTATTAAAGTGGAACGGAGGAGTAATTGGAAAATAATTTTAATTTGACGGAAATTATATTAGATTTGACGGAAATTAATCAACTTTTTTTTTTCAGAGGTACTATTAAAGTGGAACGGAGGAGTAATTGGAAAATAATTTTAATTTGACGGAAATTATAAAAAAAAAGTACCTCTTATTGTTTGAATTATAATTATAATATTACTTCTACCAATAATTTCAAACAAATGGGAGTAAAAAATTAAAGTAGGACCATGTAATAATTAATAAATGATATTAATTACCTAAAAACACAAGTAAGGGACAATCCAATCAATGAGTGATTGTGAGGAGGGAGTGGGTACCTTCTTTTTGACTTTTGCGGAGAAGGACCAAACACGAAATATCAAATCATCCCGTGCACATAAGAGTATAAACGATTTAAGTTATCTCGTGAGCTGTTCGAACTTATTCATGAGCTGTTCGAGTCTATTCATTTAGTAATTGAGTCGAACTCGAGCCTTTAAGCGAGTTCAAACTTAAAAGTTTTCAAATTAAATTCAAGTCTAAAGTTGAGTTTGAACCGAGTTTGAGTGGAACTCGATCCGAGCTTAAGCTTTCATCGAGCCAAGCCTGATCCTAAATTTTTAGGTTTATTGAGTTTTGAGTCAAACTAAATTCTATTGAACTGAATTTTGAGCTTGGCAGGTTCGAATTTGGCCAGTTCGAGCTCAACTCGGGTCATTTACATCTCTGTCCAAATGAGTATTCAATGAGTTCACATTTGGATTAGTGGAAAATATGGAGGAAAAAAAACAAAAAAAGTTTTTTTCTTTGTTTGTATTGAAATGAAAATAACATGAGGGGAAAATAAATGTTGTGTTCACATATTCTCTCCAATATTAGAAGGAAAGTTGATGAAAAATAATTAAAATTAAAATTTTATCTATATTATTGTACTTTCATAAATAGAAAGTAAAAATCTCATTGTTCATAAAATTATTTTCTTTTTCGGTAAGAGGAAAAATACTTTTATATTTTCCCGCTTTCCTCTCTAAATTTATTTCCTCTCCTTCTAAAAAATCACGTAAAAGATGAAATTCAGTCTGATTATTAAAATTTTAGAGTAATGCGATCAATAGGTTTGAAGCTGTACACTCTATACTAATAATTATGATAAATATATCAACGGGTTGTGGCTGAGTTGTCAATGCAGGCTGGACACGTGGAAAAAATTTTTGAGTTCGATTCTCACTAAAAGCATTTGCAGGGAAGAGCGAATAATCTTAACTGTGATCAACTCTCGAGCTGGATTAGGCGGTTTGTGGTAATAGATTCCGGATACCGATGGTTTACAAAAAAAAAAAAAAATTATGCTAAATAAGTATTTTTATCCTTTATATATGGACTGCCAAGAACTTTGTAAATATGCTGAAAGTGTAATTTGTGTTAAATAATTCAGCCTTTAGAGGTTGCCCAAAATGGGCCTTGTTAAAAAAAAAAAAAAAAGAAGAGAAAAAAAAAAATTAGAGACAGTCCTGTTTAGAGTTGAGCAAAATAACTAGTCGAATTGAACTGAAAATCAAACCAATATTGTCGGTTCTGTTTGGTTAACTTGCTCATGATAAATTTGATTGTGGGTTTACTTTGGTCCAAATTAAAGTTTCAAGGTAGTTTAATTTGTTTAAAAAATTCAACTGTTTAGATTTAAAACTGAACCGGCCTATCAAAAATCAAAAATAAATCAAACTCATCTGATTCAATTGAATTTAGTTTCTACAGTAATTTGATTTAAAACTGAACCGGCCTATCAAAAATCAAAAATAAATCAAACTCATCTGATTCAATTGAATTTAGTTTCTACAGTAATTTTAATTTAATTCAGTTTTATCCTGAAAATTCGATTTAAAATTATACACTTCAGTTTGATTAGATTTAAAGTCGATTCGGATCGTTTCTCACCCTTATTCCTATTTGAACTCATGAAGCCATTTGACTATTAAGTTACTTGTTCAATAATTCAAAATATATTTTATGTCAACTGGTTAGAGATTTTATTATTTAAAATTTTAATATAGTTATGAAAATAAAAGATTATCTGCATACATTAATAAATTAGAGTAATAGCCATTGGATCGAATGGCTAATAAAATATGATGTATAAAATAAGCTTATAAATGAAATATTAATCCGATGGCTCAGTTTACTAACTCCTCGGTGGTGACCATTGCTATGAGCTATTGATTTGGCTTTTCCTTCTCCAACAGTTAACCATTGTTAATAGTTTTTTTTCCATAATATTTGTCATATTTTAAATTTTATATTCTTTAAGAAAATTAATAAATTTGTTTAAGTCATAATAAATTATTGAGTAAATTGACTACATTACCCTTGATTTAATACTAATTCTCAAAAAAAACTATTAAAATGAAGTAATAATTTTCGGTCATATATAAAGGGTAAACATGGAAAAAGATATTTATTACTCTTTAAAATTATAAATGTGATAAATATTTTAGAATAAATTATTTTTTCAAATATAATAAGTACTATAAAATAGAGGTAGTAATTATATCGAATCTGATTGGTATTGATGGCCGCCAACAATAATGCTGTTCTCTATAGATCTACAACAAATTTGTTGAAAACAATTGTTGAATTTGAGTAATTAAATGAGATAAGGATTACAATCTCCATTTTTTATATTTGTCACATTTAATAAAATATTATATTTTAAAATATTTATCATATTTATGGTTTTAATGAGTAATATTTTTTTTAAGAGAAGTGAAATTTTATTATAATGAGCAATAAATTAAGAGTAATATAATCAATTTACTCAATAATTTATTATAATTTAGATAAATTTAATAATTTTTTAAGAGAAGTGAAATTTTAAATGTTGCAAGTATTTAAAAAGAGATGTAATTTGATTTAATTAAAGAGTATTTATTTTAATTTAAGTGATTTAATTACATTTTTAGTTACTTAAAATTTTAATGTTGTTGTAATTTGATTTAAGTTTAGTTCCTTAAACTTTTAATTTGATTTAATTAAAGAGTATCATGTAAAAATTTTAAACAACAAATAAAAGTGGATAGAGAGTATTAAATGATCCATATTGTTCTTTTATAATTAAATGACCCGTACTAATTGAAATTTAATTTTTTTAATATAATAATCAAGGCAATCAAAGCTATCAAATTAGCTAATAATAATAATAATAATCTTTTTTTTTTTATTTTAATATAATAATCAAGGCAATCAAAGCTATCAAATTAGCTAATAATAATAATATAATAATCAAGGCAATCAAAGCTATCAAATTAGCTAATAATAATAATAATAATCTTTTTTTTTTTATTTTAATAAATTCTTTAAATATTCATAAAGTGTTTTTATTTTAAAAGGAAAAAGTCATTTTCCTTTTGTTACTTCAACTTTTCTGTAATTTTCTTTTGATTTATAATATGGTCAAATGCATTAATATACCAATGTACTTTACGGAAAAACTGTGGCACCCTGAACTTTGCGAGTTACTTATTATACTCCTGAAGTTACAAATTTTGCTAATACTGTGTCCCTCTTTATACTAATAATAACATGTTTTTGGCATTTTTAGTATTTATGTGCAAGATATTCACTTAACATATGGTTAGTATAATATTTGGAACAATAATTTTTATATTTTTCAACTATCCTGATAAGTGTATAATTAAATTAATTTTAGAAGTTTGAGTATTCAATAAAATAATTTATGCAAGTTAAAATATTTAATTGATACAATTTTATAAATTAAAGTGTTTAATAAGTAAAAGTAAAATTTGAGGGTGCCACAAAATTTTTGACATGAATTTATCCGTTGAGCCTTTATAACATCCATACACTTTCTTTTTTCTTTTTATTCTTATTATTATTTGGAGACAGATTTTTGTCTCATTATGGAATAGAAATCCTATAGATGGGTGACAGGGATTCCTCCATTATCACCCATGGAGATAGCTTTTTGTCTCATTATGGAATAGAAGTCCTATAAATGGGTGATAGGTATTCCTCCATTACCACCCAAGTCATTAGCATTATCAAAGTCCACCCAAGTCATTAGCATTATCAAAGTGTTTGCTTGATGGTTTCAATGGCAATGGAGTTTCGCGTCCTTGCAACCTTAGCTTTACTCTCTGTAAGCATTATAGTAATCTGCTCTTTCTTCTACAGAAGATCGAAGCTTTACATTTAACCAGTTCAAGCTTCTTCTTCTTTTTTTCCTGCGTAATCAAAACTCTGACTAAAAGAAGTAACGAAAATTTTTATGGCAGGTGGTGGTAATTGGAACAGGTAATGCTGCTCTACCTGCTGAAATGTATTGGCATTCCAAGTTGCCAAACACTCCTATCCCACAAGATCTTCTGAGTCTTCTTCAGCACGGTTTGTTTCTCATCTCAATATTTCTCTAGAAACGTTATTCATTGCTTTTATTAGTAGAATTTCGAATATTTCTCTAGAAACGTTATTCATTGCTTTTATTAGTAGAATTTCGTGTGCATTGCAGCAATATTGGTTAAAATATTTTTCTGCAGATCAATATCTTTCCTTTTCCCCTCCATTAGAGAACAGATCAAATACAATGCTTTTATAGATAATATGCTATTTTTTAATATACAGTTTACACCGACTGATCCCTCAAGCAACATTCAGGCCCAAATAATATGCTTCTATAGAACTTGAATCTGGATTAGTCCACTGTACTGGATACTGATCATCTTTCTTTCCATTTTTAAAAAAAATTTAATAATTAGTAAATATTTTATTTTTTATTTCTTAATTTTTTATTTAAAGAACAACAATCCATATTTTATTTGATGGATCATCTCTTAGCATATCCGCTGTAAGTCATTTATGATTATGAGGCTAATACTTTATTTTCCAATTCAGCATCTGACTTTTTGACAAATTGGGTGATTGACTTTGAAAACATTTTAGCACCCGACTCACTGACAGAAGCAAGACACCTATCCTGAGCTTGATACTGGGACACTCCCTCTCCTCAATTTTACGAAAGAGATAAAAAATCCTCCTCAATTTTACGAAAAGGAGAATAAAAAAAAAAAAAAAAAAAACAAAACATAAAAAAGATGCATTTGGCATAGAAATATTTGAAAATAATGTAGTTTAACTTGGATATCTTTTTTACATACGTGGCTCTACTACATGATAATTTACATGTTATATGCTTTTGGGAGAACTATATATTAGTTTTTAGAACAAAAGACCCTTCATTATAATAATCTTTGTTTTTTTATTTTTGAACAATTATAGTAATCTTTGTTAACCAAAGCATAAGTTTTTAAAGAATTATCGTTCAATACCTGCGTATGTCTTAACAATTCTTGTAAATCCTTGAATGCTTCTTTTCTATTTTTTCTTATTTTTTTTTCATTTGTTTGCAATGTATTCAGATATGGGAGATACGTGCACTTTTTGGGACATGGGCTTGGCGGATAAGACTTCTGAGGACAGAAGATTCAGATATAAGTACTCTGAAAATCCTTCTGAGGAAAACACTGAGTTACTCCTGCACAAATCCTTCCTGAGGAAAACCTGAGGATAGAAGCGGAAAAATATAAGGTTACGGAAATCCTTCTTTGAAGAAAAAACACCGAAACGACAAAATATAAGCGTTACGGAAATCCTTTTGAAGAAAACACCGACGACAAAAGGTTCAGATATACGTATTCTGAAAATCCTTCTGAGGAAAACACTGAGGACAGAAGGGAAAAATATAAGCGTTACGGAAATCCTTTTGAGGAAAATACCGACGACAAAAGGTATATATGTGTGACCAGTCTAAGAATTTAGGATTATGATTCACGGTTTAAATTTTAGGTTTTTAGGATTTTGAGTTTAGGTTTTTAGGATTTTAGTATGTAAGATGTTATTATGGTTTAAGATCTAGAGTATACTATTTTAAAATTTGTAATCTAAACTTTAGTGTAATTTAAGGCTACATTTATTTTCAGAAAATAACTTGTAGAAAAATATTTTTCACAATTTTCCGTTGTTTGGGGCATTCTGAAAAATCTAGACCATTTTAAGGAAAATGACAGCCTATTTTTAAAAGAAAAATATTTTCTGACCATTAATAAACTTATTATAACCTTATAAATTTATATTTTTTTAATTTATTAATTACCAGTAGCTACAACCACCAGTCACCATTTACCACCACCGGCCACTACCACCACCGGCATCGACACCGTCTGCTACAACCATCGGTCACAGGTAACTTTCATAATTTACCTTTTTTTTGCATCCTTCTCATATTCAACAATAAAAATTTTAAAATACGAAATTTCTATTATTCTTAATACTTTTATGGTCTTATGAGTTAAAATTTTTTAATATTTTTAACTAAATTTCAATATTGCAACTAAACAAGAAAAAATAACTCATTTGAAAAATATTTTTCAAGCTTCGAAAATATTTTTCAAATGTAAGTTATTTTCCGAAAACAAACAGAGCCTAAGTTAGGCTAACGGCAAAAATTAACTAATCTTCTATATAATATATAAAATGAGAGTAGTTTGCCTTATATGGAAACTAAGTGTAAGAAATACAATTTTTGACAATGTTTTGGATTATAGAATGATAAATATTAGAATTTTGAATTAAGTTGTTGACTGACTTTTTTTTTTTTTTTTTTTTGTTGACTGACCTTTTTTTTTTTTTTTTCTTATCGTAAGGAGTTAACTTTTTTTTTTTTTTTTTTTTATCGTAGAGTTAACCTCCTATTTTATTTTATTTATTGTAGTTTTCATTAAATAACTTCTCTTTGAGAGGAAATAATTTTAGAGTATAACAAAAATGAATGACTTAACAAGACTACCAAAATATGTTTTTAGTTATAACAAGAGTATTTCAATTCATTCATTAATTATAAGAAAAGACATAAAAATAAATTTAAAAAAAAAACACTTAATTTTTTCTTGGTAATAAAAAAAACATAGGTTGATTAGCTTAGTGTATAAAGTAGTCTCATATACCACGAGCTAGGTTGCATGGACATGGGAGATGAGATACGACAATTTAAAAAAAAAAAGTAGGATATCCACATGTTTAGAACACACTATACTAAGGCTCCATTTGTTTCGTAAAATAACTTGTAGAAAAATATTTTTTATAATTTTTCGTTATTTGGGGCATTTAGGAAAATAAATCAATAGAAAATATTTTTCTGATCAAAGGAAATCAAGTCATTTTTAAGGAAAATGACTGAACATTTTCAATAACGTAAAACATTTTCCGAACTTTGACAAACTTATTTTGATCTTATAATTTTTATTTTTTTATTTTATTAATCATTAGTAGCTACTACTACCGTTTATCATTTACTACCAATCACCACCATCGGCCACCGTTGACTTTCACAATTTACCATTTTTTTTTTGCATTATTCTCATATTTAACAATAAAATTTTGAAAATACAAAATTTATATTATTATTGAAAAATACAAAATTCTATAATTATTATCTATTAATCTATTATTATTATTATTATTATAGTTTTATGAGTTAAAAATTTTAACAATATGTTTTAACTAATTTTTCAATATTGCAAACCAACGGAAAATAAGTCATTTGAAAACATATTTCTAAGGAAAACTATTTTTTCTCTGGAATTTCAAAGAATAGTTATTTTACGGCAAACAAACAAAATCTACAATGAACGTACAATGCATTAATCGTTTCCAAATAAATAAATAATCATCTTATAATATCATTTATAATAAATCATAAATAAAAAATACGTTATTTCTTATTTCAATATAATTAATTAAATTCTTAAATTATTATCACTATTGGAAAATACATTAACAATGTGTGTGCATTTTTTAATGCAAGTCATACTATGCATAACTTTTGCTATTGCATACCTTAATAGTTCTGCAAATTTGATTATTGCTATTTCGCGTCATTATTATGGAATCTCAATAATTAAATCTCTCTTGCTATTTCTCTCTACTTGCTTTTATTTGTGCTAAACGTTAGTCTTCAGTATCAAAGGTATTTACAATATCTCTTCTCACGCTGTTGTATTTATTGGTCTATTGGTGGTTGATTCCATGGGAAAATGACAATATTTCTTCTTATTGCAGGTGGCAAATTCTGAAGCTCCCAAAAATTCACGTCTTAGTAAATCATTGGAGGATGAGGTATGACAAGTAATATATATATATATATATATATATTATATATATATTATATATATTGTTTCTAAACTTGACTAATCATCCCTTTCAAATGTTTTTCTAGTAATCACTGCTTATTCTAGTCTCCCATATATTGTTCTAAACTTGATAATCATCCTTTCAATGTTTTCTAGTAAATCACTGCTATTTAGTCTCCCCCTAGATGTTCAATGTTAGCTTATTAAAAGTTGAGACTTACTTCGAAAACCTATGGAAACTTGCCCATCTTAATTCATCTGCTTACACTAGATCAGTTTGGAGTCAGCAGTGACAGATCAATAGAACTGTTCCATGTTGGTCACATTTCATTGATTCTAAAGCAAGGTGCAGGTACGTCACAAGGTTTCTTCTTTTTGTTGGTTCCTCTTTGAAATATAAAGTTGAAGGTATAGTGATGTAAATCCTTTACCCTCAAAGAGTCCAGATACTGTATTGCTCAGTTGCTTCTTTTGATTTCACATATTTGCACCTTTAGAAACTGAAATCCTTTTATGGAATTTCGTATTTCATATAAAAGCACTTTTCAGCTGTTGTTCTGTTAGCTCATTAAATGTGTTTGGTTTGTCATGTGATATCACTACCTCGATTTATTGTCTGCTGTTCTTGTGACAGAAAATGTTGCATTAACTGTCCAGCTCATGAGATGGTTTATTATGCATTTTGATTTTGAAGCTGAAGTTATTCTTCTTTTTAATGTGTTTTACACGCATGACCTTGAATGAGTATGTTTCTATGTCTGAATGCGTATATGTATATATATATAATTCAATTACTTTGTTATTAGAATTCATTAATTAGTGGCAGCAGGCTATTCTTCAGTCCTTTGGCAGTTGATTTATGTTTAATTTGGGCCCATTGTCATATGGTAATGGTTATTTCTGTCCCTTCGAATCTGCCATGTGGTTGTGCTTGCCAATCTATAAAAAACTGCATTCATAAGTATACTTCTACCCCTGGATTTACTTCGTTAAGGACCACTGATGTTGCACTATATTTCAGGCAACTAGATATGGCACCGAGGGAAGGTGGAAGTGGACGTTCACGGAGAGCTCAAAATGAACCACTTGCTGATTCACAGCCACAACAATCAGCACAACCACAACAATCCGCACAACTACTCCCACCACCATAGCTAACTATAGCAACTAACTTAGGCCCATCCAGTTCTACACCAGTCACAAGTACACCATTATCATCATCAACCCCTGCTAGTCCAACTGAAGGTATTGTATTCTCAACTACCTCCACTACAACTACAGGCAATCAAGTAATCCTTCACCTTGTAGGAAACAAGGTAAGAATATATAATATTAAAAAACTCTATTATGTATATACATTTTGATTCTGCAAAATGAAGGTTTTTTATTTACATAAAACTATTGATTGCGTCTTACTTGTTTTAGTTTGGAGCCATATAATTTTGCAAGCAAAATTACTGAATCTTTCATAAAGAAATTGGATCTAACTGGTTATGAATGGAAGTCTGTGCCTCCAGACACAAAGGACATGTCTTGGTAAGAGTTTAAGATGTTATACTCGATTCTTTTCCTCTCCTTGGACTATATTTTCCTCAAGATATTATATAAATTGTACATTAATAATAGACTATATCATATGACTTGCACATTTTTGTGTATATATATATATATATATATTTGTGTATATATATATATAATATTATATATATATTTGTTCTTTATGGATTTTAGATAACATTATGTGTGGGTAAGGAGATTGAGGCTCTGTAGAAGAAATTTGGAGTGAAAGTGTCATCGGGCATAGAGTCCCTCGCGCAGCACTGCGCCCGTGCGGCGCCCCGAGAGCCCTCAGTTCCCGCATAGCTCGAGGCAAGCCCTCGCCATACCGTAACCGAAACTGGTTTTCGCCCTGCCCATGGGCTCAAGGAGAGCGGCCCAGCTCTCGACCAGTTGTCCCCGCGGCACAATACCCCGCCTGCACGCAGGCTTTGCATGGAGTAAGGACCACTAGGCGGAAAAATAAGTCCAAATATATCTCAAATGATATTTGAAATAGTTGGAAGCCTCATTGGGAGACTCCTGAATCTAAAGTAAAATATGAAAAATGTCCCAAGAGTTGCCTTACTGAGACTGGTGGCCCAGGAGCCGGTCCTTCATGACATACAGGAGGCTCTATCCCTCACATAGTACACGCAAAATGTTTGGTATATATATATATATTTTTTATCTTAATACAAATTACATTAATGCTCAGTTATTTATTTTTCCAAGGATAATGTAATAACTATGGTAAAAATTTTAGGAGGCTGAATTACGGAGACCCCCACTTCCACATGAGGTTTTAGAGGTGACACCACTAGAAAGAAGGATCTGCAATTCGTGAACCAAGGTCCAAGAATACATTTGTAAATTGACAATCATTGAAAATTAATATTATTCTTCTAATATTTCAGCAGTTATTGACAATCATTGAAAATTAATATTATTCTTCTAATATTTCAGCAGTTAAAATGTAAGTACTTATCATTATATGTTTTTATTTCTTTCAGGAGGTTGTTGTATCTAAAGTTCAAACTGAATCTCAACCTGAAGAGGGATCTAATCAATCACGCTTGGTTGACGCTACTTAGATATTCGTTCAAGAAGTTGGCGGCGTTAAGAAGCATCGAGTATACGGTCTCGGTTCACAAGCATCTATTTGCTTTGGTCACTCCAGCACCTCTATCGCTTCTGCTACATCTCTCCTTCAAGAACAAGATGGTGATTGATGCTCAAATTCAGGAGACGTTAAAGCAACGAATGGAAGAGCTGGAGATGCAACAGGAGTTGCAACAGCAACAACAGTTGATGCAAGAAAAGTTGCAGCAGCAATTACAGCAGCAAGTTGCAGAGCTTGTTCGCACTCATTTCGCACCTACAGTTCCGCCAGCTCCTACTTCACAGCATCTTTCGTCACAGACTTCTTCAGATACTCACACTAATGCTCAGGATGATGGTAATATCTAGGTAGACTTTAGTTGATTTGTATTAAAAGATTAGGTAGACTTTAGTTGATTTGTATTAAAAGATATAAGTTTATTAGTACCTATAAGACTTGCAATTGTTTGTATTTGTGAAAAAATTTATGTTGTCTTAATATTTTATGTATACTTAAAACTATTTAAATGTTATGTTAACTTTCTCTATTTGATTTTAATTAATTTCATTATAAATGTATAAATTTAAAAATTAGAAATATGGCAAGATTAAAATATTAAAAATAATGGAATTTTTTCAACTGAATAAATAGAAATGGAACCAAAACGTACTATATTTTCAACCACCAATTAGAAACGGATTTAGCAAAGGTAAAATTTTAGGAGTACTTGTTCTTAAATGTTAAAAACGGATATAAAAATGGATAAAAATGATTAGAAACGTAAATAGCAAAGGATTAGCGACAGATGAGAAACCGATATAGAGATGAAATAGAAGTGGATCGAAAACGAAATTTGTTGCTATGAGGTCAGACCTTAGAAACGGATTTATGGGAAACTAGCAACGGATATATCCATAACAGTTTCAAAATCCATTTCTAAACTGATTTACGAACACCCCAAGTTGTCACGAACCCGATCCGTTCCTGATCTGTTTCTAAACTGTTTTAGCAACGGATTTGATTCATTTAGAAACGGAAATTCGTTGCTATTCGGCAATTTTCTTGTAGTGTACTATGGCAATAGTATCAATACTACTTGTCTAGTACATTAAAGAAAAGAATATATGCATATACACGTAAATTCTTGAAACACTAAAAAGTAACCCAAGTATAAATATAAAGTTTTAATTTTTTTCAGTTTCCTAAATACTATTTTCTTTTAAATTAAAATATAAGAAAAAAAATATGAAGAAAATTAAAAATGCTAATCATCAATAGGCAATTTATTTATTGCAAGTGAGATATAAATCTCTTACTAAATTAAAATGATAGTAATTACAAATTATTCAGTAACGAAAAAGAAAATAAAAAATTATTTTTAAAAATTTTTTTAAGAATAAACTCCTTT